CATTTATGTTAGGCACACACAAAGAGAACCTCATGTACATAACACACACAAAGAGAACCTCATGTACATAACACACACAAGGAGAACCTCATTTATGTTAGGCACACACAAAGAGAACCTCATGTACATAACACACACAAAGAGAACCTCATTTATGTTAGGCACACACAGAGAGAACCTCATGTACATAACACACACAAAGAGAACTTTACCTGACATATACACACACAGAGCTTTGTCTGCTTACCAGCAAGCGCGGCCACACAGCCAGCCCCACACACCTCACTGGCAGGTTCTGCTTAGCACGGAAAGATGTGTGTGACCCTAACCGCACTAGCTGTCCCCTCACAGACGTACATCGGTTCCGTCCTTGTGTCCGTGAACCCCTACAAGGAGCTGGAGATCTACAGCAAACCGCACATGGACCGTTACCACGGCGTCAGCTTCTACGAGGTGTCGCCCCACATGTGAGTGTGTAAGCGTCATGTGCGCCCTCTTCTGGTGGCAGTCGCTAAGTGACGTTCGCCTTCCATTCAGATCTTCTTATGTTCTGATGCTCCAGAGCAGGAGTACTGGGATTCTGCCATGGTGGTGCCTCACATTTTCCCTGACTCACCACTTCCTGTTGCTCTGAGACTAGATGTTTCACCTGCTGCTAATGGAGCCCTGATTTCTGCAAGGGCCAGGAAAGGACTGAGGCCAGGGGGATTTTGGACTTTGCTCCGTGACACATTCCAGTCCTATCCTGTCAGGTGGAATATTCTGCACCTGTGATGTCATTTCTCCAATCACCAGTCTCCCTTGAACCCAAACAGACACTTTGAAATAACAAACCCCTTACAGTGCAGGGCACATTTTCTCCAGTAGTTGTAGTTAGAGGTTTGTGATGACCTCCTGTCCTTCATTGTGCTTCTAAATACCTCTACACTGCTTCATAGTTTCCATCTGCCCCCTTGACGTGTGCCTGATTTAGGATAAACGCTCTACTTCCTGTGGGTCACTCCTCTATGAGGAAACCAAAGCCAAACAAACATGCCCTGTGCTGACGTTGTGGGGTTTCCAGGTCAACAGCCCAGCCTGAGCTTCTGAATAATTACAATCACAGCTGTTTGAACATTCACAGTCATTACAGGTTTTCATTGTTTTTGGAGCAGTACAGCACTAAACCCTTGTTCCCACACCCAGTGGGACAGCATTAAACCCTTGTTCCCATACCCAGTGGGACAGCACTAAGCCCTTGTTCCTACACCCAGTGGAACAGCACTAAGCNACAGCACTAAGCCCTTGTTCCTACACCCAGTGGAACAGCACTAAGCCCTTGTTCCCACTCCCTTTGGGACAGCAACAAACCCTTGCCCTCACTCTTACTAGGACAGTACTAAACCCTTGTTCTCACATTCAGCAAGACAGATCTAAGCCCTTGCCCCTGTCTTTGCAGCTATGCCATCTCTGACAATGTGTATCGCTCGATGCGGACAGAGGGGCGGGACCAGTGTATCCTAATCTCGGGGGAGAGCGGTGCTGGAAAGACTGAAGCTTCCAAGAAGATACTGCAGTACTACGCCATGACCTGCCCTGCCAGTGAGCAGGTGCAGAAAGTCAAGGACCGTTTGCTGCAGTCCAACCCTGTGCTGGAGGTAACCATGAGGCTCCGTTATCACTGACATCACCTCACAGTCACAGTGCTGGAGGTAAACCGTAAGGCTCTGTTTATCACTGATATCACCTCACAGTCACAGTTCCAGTGGTGACTGTGAGGCGTGGTTGACTGTTTCGTGAGCATCTCCCTGCCTCCTCATCTCCCTTCAGGCTTTCGGGAATGCCAAGACCCTGCGCAACGATAACTCCAGCCGCTTTGGAAAGTATATGGACATTCAGTTTGATTTCAAAGGGGCGCCGGTTGGTGGTCACATCCTGAGCTTCCTGCTGGAGAACTCCCGTGTCGTGCACCAGAACCACGGCGAGAGAAACTTCCACATCTTCTACCAGATGATCGAAGGTGGAGAGGAGGAGCTGCTACAACGACGAGGATTGGAGAGGAACCCACAGCAGTACCACTACCTGGTGAAGGTGACTGTGAACCTGCCCACTCTCTGTATGTGTGGACCTACTGGTTCACTGACCACAGGAGGATAGACTATGGGAAAAATGTGAAGCCCCCCCCCTAGCACCACAGAAGAATCCTCTAAGAAGATTTCATTGGCAATTTGGGGATGACACCAGCCATCTTTCTGTTTCCCAGGGGAAATGCCCAAGGGTCAGCTCCCTCAACGACCGCGACGACTGGAAGGCAGTGAGGAAAGCCCTGTCTGTTATTGGCATAAGTGATGAGGAGGTGGAGGTAAGGTCAGCTTCTTTTTCCATGTAGCTCTTCCACACTTTCTTCCAAGCAAAAAATAACTCTCATGTTGGGATGGAACTTCATGGACCTTCAAGATCAGACCTTCATGTGGAGGCTGGTGGCTTCAGCGTTTTCAGATTCCTTTGGCTAATTGCTTCACTGCCTCCCGCTTAATGGGCTCAGGAGTTTTGCTGTAAGGCTGCTAATGAACCCCCGACATATTTGGCACTTTCCTGCTGGTAGTGGACAGGCGTTAGTTTGCTACCTTAAGTGACTGCCGCAGCACTGCCCCCTAGAGGCGAGCAGATAGCCTGCAAATTGTCAGACAATTGGGGCTTTTTTTGCACTGGCATACAGTAACCGAGCCAGTTACTGTATACCTGAGACTAGTTGCAGCACAGTTACAGCTTCCACTGCAGAGGGGTCGGCTCGGTAAAGGCGTTGCCGGGTTTGGAGAGCAACAGTGACGCAAAACAGAGACACTCATTTACTGTTCTCACAGTGTCCATCATGATTTACTATGTGCTAATCTCCTAATTTCCTTGCACATCTGTGAGAATTAGCATTTGCGTGCGTAAATTTGCATTATGAATCCATTCTGTTTAGCGGTTCTGTAGTACTTTTCTAAGTAGGAGGTGGGGAATTTTTAAGTTCAGAGTTTTCGGGATTGCATTCCGATGTACAAAACTATTAATGATGAATAATATGTAGAATGTACACTTCTACTTTCAGATAATCCATGCGCAGGACACTGTTATCTCCCTCTGTATTGACCAACCAGATGGTGGTGACACAACCACCTTGGTTTGGTCACGCTTTCAGTCCTGCTAATAAGCAGTGCCATGTCAGTGCGGTAACAGCTTGGGTATGGCTGGGGTACTTTACAGTGGGAAACTCCCAGTGTGCAGTGCATCTCGGTTCTTGGTGGCAGTGCAAAAGCGCCTAAAAATGCTGCCTTTTGTTATATGGCTTTGTTTATGGCCTTCTGACTCCCTCTCCATCTCTCTCTCTCTCTCTCCCTCACTCCCCCTTGCTCTGCAGGAGCTGCTAAACATTATTGCCAGTGTCCTCCACCTGGGGAATGTTCAGTTTGGGATGGAGGACAGTGGTGGGGTCTACATCACCACAGAGACCCAGATCATGTCACAGGTATGGGACGTCGAGGCTGCCGGTCACCAGCCTGCGCCCCCTGCTGTCCACACTCTGCCTCTGACGCTCCTGCGTGCTGTGTTGTTACTCCTTCCAGCTGTTGGGTGTGGAAGGGACCCTCTTGAATGAAGCCCTCACCTACAGGAAGATCATCACCAAGGAGGAGGAGGTACGTCTCTCCCACTCCTCCTTTCCGTATTAGTTCATCGTTCGACGTTGTTTTTATTTCTTTGTTTAGACAGTACAACTGTGAGCACTGGAGAAAAGTGGTGTTTATGGAGGAGAGACACGCTGACCGGTCTCCTCATGATGGACCTCCTCTTTCTGCTGTTCCTTAAGACGCCCGCTTGTGTGTGCATTCGCTCTACAGCTCATGAGCCCCCTGAATCTGGAGCAGGCAGCCTCAGCGCGGGACGCCCTGTCCAAAGCGGTCTACGGACGCGCCTTTACCTGGCTGATCAACAAGCTCAACATGTCTCTGGCCTTCAGGGTATGCAGAGCGACTGCGTACTCGTTCTGTTTGCGCTGTACTGAACATTTTCATCTCTATCACAGCTCTGTTGCATTTGGGTGAATGGGGTTGGTTTAGTTCATTGGGGAACTAGAGACCCTGCGTGTCGGTGGCTCTGCTGTGCCTTTCCCTTGCTTCTTGTGGGCTCTGGTTGGCTGACGCTGTTGTGCCGCAGGATCCGGTCTATCCCACCGGCAGGTGTGCTGCTGCCATCGGACTGCTAGACATCTACGGCTTCGAGGTCTTCCAGCACAACAGGTGACCAAATGCCCCCTGTCTGACTGCCCCCCACCCCTATCACACCATTTCCTTCTTTGGCCCTGTCTGCTATGGTCCAAATATCATTCATGACATAAAATTATCACTTGCATATGTGACCTGTGGTGATTTTTTACTTTTCATTTCATAACTGCTTTGTAGAGTGCGCCATCTAGTGGTTGGAGTTTAGCTGTTTTCAACACAATGCTAAGCATTTGTGTACATTTTTGAGTCATCCACCCATCATCCATCCATCCATCCATCCATCAATCTTCCAAATGTTTGTTCAGTACTGGGTCACTGATTTTTTGGACACCTTAAAAAAAAAAACTTTGAAAAAATCAGACGTGACTCACACTGAGCTCCCCCCCCACAGCTTCGAGCAGTTCTGCATCAACTACTGCAACGAGAAGCTGCAGCAGCTGGTCATCGAGCTGACGCTGAAGCAGGAGCAGGATGACTACGTGGCCGAGGGCGTCACGGTGAGATGGCGGGCCTGGAATTGTCGGGCACTGATTGGGGCTGCCGTCTGCGGTGTCATTAACGGCCTTCTCGCTCGGCTCCCATTGGCCGAATGCAGTCATTGGTGGACGTTGCAATATGGGCGAGCCCCCTGCAGCCTTGCCAGCTACATTTTGTATGTGTTTCCCAGTGAATGTCAGATCCTTAAAGGCAAATGACACAATAATGAACTCAGCCAGCTAAAGGAAAATAGAAGGAGAGTCATTTAACGGATTGCTGCTTGTGATGCTACAGGAAGTGAAGGGTGCAAAGGTAACACTGCTGGCAGGGTGCATTATGGGTAGAACTTCCTGACAGTCCTGCTCAGGGACCATAGGCTGAGACAAAGACACCCTGAGTGAGGAATGTCTCACTGAGCCGGGCGGCTCTGCCCACCCCCTCTCCCCCAGAGGTGTGAGATGGTAAACTTTCCGCTCTGGTGACTTCATGATGCTGCAGATTCAGCAAGTGGCTGACCCCCCCCCCCCCCCCCGGCCCCCCAGTAACTGTAACGGAAAGGCCGCTATGTCCCTGGGGGCCGCTGTGTCCCGGGGTGTCGGCCTCTCAAAGGGTGCTTTATGCAGCGAGGCCCCGTAACTGGTGGCCCCACGCTCCCGCCGTCGGCGTGGCAACGGAAAGCCGCGCCTTTCGGAATAGCAGGCAGGCCAGCGGAGAGAGCAGCGTTTGTCCGGCAGCCCTGGGCCGCAGTGGGCGTGGCATTTCCCGAATAGCTGAGATTTTTGGGAGCTGGAAAGTGCTAAGGGGAATTACCCTCGAGTGACCCCCCCCCCCCTCCTGCCTTGTTTGTGACTCGCAGTGGGAGCCTGTGCAGTACTTCAACAACAAGAGCATCTGCGACCTGCTGGAGGAGAAGTTCAAAGGCATCATTTCAGTCCTGGTGGGTGGAGGAGGCCGTGGGGGTTGGGCACTCTCTTGTCACTGTGTCATTCCTCTGCCCCTACACCCTGCGCTCCATACATACTGTTCCCCAATTCCCACCCCAGGATGAGGAGTGTCTGAGGCCTGGGGATGCCAGTGACATCACCTTCCTGGAGAAGCTGGAGGTCACCGTGGGGGATCACCCCCACTTTGTCACGTGAGCCCCCCCCCAACCCTAACTCTAACCCTAAACTCCCCCCATCCCCCGTCATTCCAGCTCCCATCCTCACTCGACACTCATAGGCCTGGAATTTCGACCCTGACTCATGCCAGGGCATGAGCACACTAAAATGACTGCATTCATGCATAACATTTCAATTTTATAAGTTTTAATCCATGGCCATTTGTGTATATTTTCTTTACCTCGCACGGATGACGTGAAATGGCTCACTAAGTTGTATTTTCCTGCATCAGACACAAGCTGGCCGATGGAAAGACCCGGAAAGCAATCGGCAGAGAGGAGTTCAGGCTGCTTCACTATGCCGGAGAGGTCAACTACAATGTCAACGGTGAGGGCAGAGTGTCACCACAGGGCAGTGCTATCAGGAAGTAATAGGAGTCTGATGAATGACTGACTGGCTGCCTCTTAAGTTTTGTCTCATTCTGTTGCTGTTTGTAGGGTTTCTGGACAAGAACAATGACCTCCTCTACCGGAACCTCAAAGAGGTACTTTTACCTGCTCTAGTCAGACGGCACCATGCTTCATTCTAGCTCTCCCCTGATGTCGCCATGCCCCCCCTCCCCCCCCCATCACCACCTGCAGATGATGTGTCGTTCGGAGAACAGGATCCTCACACAGTGCTTCGAGCGGGATGAGCTGACTGACCAGAAGCGCCCTGAGACGGTAAGTCGTGTTTCACACTTACGCACGGACACAAATGCACGATAAGGACACAAGTGCTGTAAGCAACTCACGAGAGATATAGTTGTAGGGATGTAGCTACAGAATCTTAAGCATGTAAACACAGAAGCCTCATGAACATTTGGACATTGTTACTCACACCAGGCACAGAAACACTCACTGTGTACGGCCATAAACATGCAGACCCCATAGGTATGCAGAGAGCCTCCCACACATCTCAAGTGCTGTAAGCTCCTTTCATTTCGCCCCCTACCCACACATCTTGGAATGCCCATTCTAAGCCCCGCCCACCACACCTACCGGCCGAGCAGCTCATTGGCCGATCTGAAACATTTCGCCTTATTGGTGGAAATACTTGCATGCTTTCATCAGTCGGGTTCATCACGTCGGTCCTTCCTCTCCTCCACTGACACTTGGGACTCTCCGCTCTCTCGCCCCCTGGTCCTGTTCTCTGGCGCTTCCTTTTCCTCTGGATTTTCCTCACTTTCTGTCTCTCCCCGTTCCGTTGTCTGGGAATCCAGACAGCAACTCAGTTCAAGTACAGCCTGGCCAAGCTGATGGAGATCCTGATGTCCAAAGAGCCGTCGTACGTGCGCTGCATCAAGCCCAATGATGCCAGGCAGCCAGGTAGGGTGTGTGTGTTTATGTGTGTGTCCGTGTGAGTGTGTGTGAGCATTTTGTAATTATTACATTGTGGAGACCAGATTTCCCCTCAATGTGATAAAAACCTGTATCTTTTTACCTGGTGGGGACATTTTTTCGGAAACCACAAGGATAACCTCAATTTTATAAAAATCTGTGACTGCAATCAAAAAAACTAAAAATGCCAAAAGTGTTGTATTTTGTTTGGTTACTTGTGGTTAAGGTTAGGGCTGAGTAGGGGTTAAAGATGGCATAATTGGGATTAAGGTTATGCCCAAAGAAATTAATAGAGAGTCCCCTTAAACATATGAATAAGCAGACTGTGTGTGTGTTTGTGTGTCCGTCTCAGCACCATTCTTTGTGCTGGTCTGTACTGCGTCATTTGCTGATGTTTCTCTGTGTTCATGAGGTTTATACTGCACATGCACATTTTATGCAGCTCTGAGTCTTTCCTACTTGCCGTTCATCCATTCTGTGTGCCATCAGCACTGGGAATTGGTGTGTGGATTTGGTTGCTGTGCCTGTGATCAGAAGGTTGCTGGTTTGAATCCCTGGGTCGGGATGCTTTGGGGACTGGTTGATAATGCTCTCTTTCAATTATTTGTCATTTTGAATAAAAATATCTGCTAAATACAAAACACGACCAGTTTACGATACAGTCAGAACCAGCAGGTAGGAGATAAGCCCGTAAGCTGGTCCAGCCTTTGGGAGGGGTTCTGCTATAGTGCCTCACCTAACCCACTCCGGCTGTGCTCTGGTGTAGATAAAAATAACTAGACATATGCAGTGGGTGGTGAGGTGGCACAGTGGTTAGCGCTGCTGCCTCTTAGCTAGAAGATCCTGGGTTCGATCCTGGGTCCTTTCTGTGTGGAGTTCACACGCTCTCCCCATAGGTTTCCACCTGGGGCTCCGGTTTCCTCCCACGGTGCAAAAATGTGCAGGGCAGGTTGATTGGTGTGTCTAAATTGTGCCCTGCGGTGTGTTGGTTCCTGCCCGTGTCCCTTGTTTCCGGGATAGGCTCCGTGACCCCAGTTGGGATTAAATGGTTATGGTGATAGATGTATGCAGCAAGTTCTGCTGGCACTTACGCTGTAAGTGTGTTTGACTTGTTTTTTTGTGTTAGGAGAACCCAGATTCAGGATGCAGCATCACAGTATAGTGCTGGCCATTCAAGGGGGTGACATGCTCCGCCTTCATGCCTTTTAAGGGGGTGACGTGCTCAGCCTTTGCACCCTTTAAGTCAGGGGTGGGGAACCTGTTCTATGGAGGGCCGATGTGGGCGCAGGTTTTTGGGATGACCTCTCAATCAGCCAATAATAAAACAGTGGTTCTCAACTCCAGTTCTGGGGACCTTCTGTTATTGGCTGATTGAGAGGACATCACAAAAACCCACACCCACACCAGCCCTCCATGGATTACGTTCCCCACCCCTGCTTTAAGGGATGACATGCCCCATCTTCATGCCCTTTTAGGGCATGCCTGCCCCTCCTCCATGCTCTTCTATGGAGTGACTGCCCCACCTTCATGCCCTTTTAGGGCATGACTGCCCATCCTCCATGCCCTTCTATGGAGTGACTGCCCCACCTTCTTGCCTCTCCATCCCCCTCAGGTCGCTTCGATGAGGTGTTAATCCGCCACCAGGTGAAGTACCTGGGCCTGATGCAGAGCCTGAGGATACGGCGTGCTGGGTTCGCTTACCGCCGTCGCTATGAGGTCTTCCTGCAGAGGTCAGTCGACACCACAAACAGGATGCTGTTGAGTGCTGTTTATTTGGTATTGAGTGTTGGGTGCTGGATGTTGAGTGCTGCTTCTTGGGTGCTGGTTATTGAGTGTTGTTTGTTGAGTGTTGTTTGTTGAGTGTTGTTTATTGAGTGTTGAGTGCTGGGTGTCAGGTGCTGTTGAGTGTTGGGTCTTCATTATTGCATGTTATGTGGCCTGTGCTGATTGTGGTAATGGAATTCTGAAGCGTGACTGTATCACCTACAGGTGTCCTGCAGTGAGGTCACTGGAACCCTGTCACACACACTAAGGCCTGTGCTTGTGTCCCCTGTCACCATGCAGATACAAATCGCTGTGTCCTGAGACTTGGCCTAACTGGCAAGGGCAGCTGGCAGAGGGCGTCGCCACCCTGGTCAGACACCTAGGGTACCAGCCTGAGGAGTACAAACTGGGCAGGTAGCCTGTGTGTGTGTGGGGGGGGAGCATACGGGGAGGGGTGTAGGGAGGAGGGTAATGGAGGGAGCGATGGACAGGAGGAAAGCAGGCAAAGGGACAGATGCGGAAAGAAACAGGGCCCTTTAATAGCCGTTTATGTTGCTTTATTTACCAAATGCTTTTAGCCAAAGCAAAATCCAGCCAGGCTGTTAAAGCATCTCAAGCATGTTGCTGTTATGAAGCCAACTAGGCATAAGAGCATCTGGGCCGAGCTTCCAATGAACAATCAGTGGCACTTAAAGCAACAGCCACACAGAACAATAAAGAAGATGGCAAAAACAGAAAAGCATTCAAATCACGATGGCCCAAGACATCACAAGTATGGGGTTCCTATGAAGCAAGTATAGATCATAACCAAGGGGCGGCAGATGAAGAGGGGCTCAGATGGGTGGTTGCTTGGGTGAGCTAGGTAAGGTGTTCCTGGAAAAGGTGGGTCTTGAGATGTTTCTTGAAGGTCGAGATGGACTCTGATGGATGTGTATGGGTAGCTCATTCCACCGTTGAGGAACCACACATGAGAGACCTCTGAAGTTATGGTCATTTTCACGTGGTGGAGGGATCTCTAGGTGATGCTGAATTGCTGGTTGAACTGTCAGGATCATCACCATAAGTCTCTTTTCTGTCCTTGTCCAACAGTTTCCTGCTGGCTGGATTGTTATCTGAAACTCTTCATTAATTAGTTTGTGCATCCCAAACACATGTCCCCATTTACATTAGCCTTTGTGACATTAGCATGTATTAGCCTCATAGCATGTACATATCCTCATTTACATTAGCCTCTGTCACAGCACTCATTAGTCTCTTACTTTAGCCGGTGTGGCATTATAGTCCACATTTTTGCTCCCTGGGAGCTGGGAAGGAGCAAAAATATGTACTGTCTGGGATCCCTGAGGACTGGGTTAGGAAACACTGCATTAGCCTCTCTTATCTCCTCCGGTGGTGCAGTGATTCTTTAGACATGTCCCTCCCCCTGAATTGTGAAATCCTGTCTCCTCAGGTCAAAGATATTCATTCGTTTACCAAAGACTCTGTTTGCCACCGAAGATGCCTTGGAAGTAAGAAAGCAAAGCATAGGTGAGAGATGTGTGGATGAAAACGATGGTGTGAGCGAGATAGATGATTATGGTGATTATGATGTTTGAAAGGCTGGAAGATAGGGGAGCGGAAGCATGGACTCCTAGGTGATGTGATACCTGAGTTTAGTGAGCTCAGAGATTAGGGGCAAACCAGTTTGATGCCACTGCTGCTCCTCTGATGCTCCTCCATCTTCCTGATGTTCCTCCTCAGCCACAGTCCTACAGACCAGCTGGAGGGGCTACAGCAAGAGGTCCAAATACCAGAAGCTGAGGAACGCAGGTGAGACCTGCACCGCTGGCTCCCTGTATCTCTGTCCCACTGCTGAGCATCTTACTGACCCAAAACTTTACTACTAAGGTTAAAATACCAGTAAAAAGTAAAGTATAGTAAATGCAAAAACCAGTAACTTAGCTGTTTATTGTCATTATAAAGTATCATGTACTGCAGATAATTCTATGTGCTATTCATTTGTGCGACTGCCCAGTATCACCAGACACAGGAATTTTTCAGCTCCATTATAATCTAACGACACCACCGCTGTCCATGTGGTCCATCGCTGACCGAAACGTCATTATGTGACACATGGCTGTATGTATAAATATGGTTGATCATGGCAGTGGTTGATTACTGCAGTCCATGTATTCAGAGGTTACAGTGTGACACTGATTGCCTTGATTTCATCGGCCGAATGTCTTCACTAGGATAGTAATGCTAGACAGATGGATCTTGGAGCTACAATGATATATTATTAGAAAGCAAACTGTGTTTCTGAGTTCTGGTGGTTTGGGGCCAGACACTAAAAATGACAATAAAAGAGGAGGGGATTCTCTCTCCACCAGTGATCACCATCCAGTCTTGGTGGAGGGGAGTTGTGGACCGGCGGAAGGCCCGGGTTCGAAAGCAGGCTGCCGACACCATCCGCAGGTACAACCCATAACAGACAGTGTGTACTCGTCCATGAAGGAGGCACGGTCCGGGCTATAGCTGCATCTTCTGTGCTGAGGTCTTTAGGGTGGAGGAGGCACGCTCCGGGCTGTACCTGCATCTCTCCTTCTGCGCTGAGGTCTTTAGGGTGGAGGAGGCACGCTCCGGGCTGTACCTGCATCTCTTCTGGAAGTCTTGAGCAGTAGTAATGTTACATTCGAAACTGAGGCTTCGAAACGTTTATTGAGTATGAAAGGGGCGTGTGCACTGAAGTCTCACTTTGAGGCCTGTAACATTCTCAGAGAATCACATGATTGATGACAAACAGAGCCTTGCTTCCCAGAGTGACATGCTGTTGACTTGACATTGACTTATTGAAAATACCTTTAGTAATAGCACATGCATTCTGTTTTTGCATATTTCTCCAAGACACTAGATGTCTCTGTGAAGCAATGGTTCAAACCCTTTGAAGGATCGCAACTGTTTCTGAATGGAGTGTTTCAATTGCCTCCCTCTCTCAGAAGACCCATTTTGCTATCACTAAATCCACCAGTAGGTGTCACTAGTGCACACCAAGTTACATGAAGCTGCAAATAATGAAGATACAGGGGAAGAGATGATCAACAAGGAACGGGTGTAAGCACTTGACTAATCAAACAGGTTGATTGGTGGTTGCAGTCAGGTAATTACTGAGAGTTACTGAGAATTACTGAGAGTGGGAAACCAGAGATAATCCCATCATAGGTACAGAGGCAGTGAGCTGGGACACCACTAGGGGGCAGAGCAGCCAGGAGAATCCCTGACAGTTTGCTCTCATTTAGGTTTATCAAGGGCTTCATCTTACGCGAACAGCCACGGTGCCCCGAGAACGAGTACTTCCTGGCCATCGTCCGCCACACGTTCCTCACGAACCTGAGGAAGAACCTGCCCAGAACTGTCCTGGACAAGAGTTGGCCCAGACCCCCGCTGGCTCTCACAGAGGTGCCCCCGCCACCAAAACATGCACCCACATGCCCAGTGAGCGGCTGACCATGGGCAGGGCTGACAGAGCTGTGTTTGGCTGGCTGTTTGGCAGGCATCCGAACATCTGCGCAAACTCTGCATGCAGAACATGGTGTGGAGCTACTGCCGGAGGATCCAGCCTGAATGGAGGAACCAGGTGCAGTGCTGTGCAGCCACTTGCGCAGATCAGCCATCTGCGCAGTCAGTCAGGGGAGCTGGGCAGCATTGTGTGGGATGCGGGAAACATCATTGCTTTTTAATGACTGTCTACGAATTCGGCTTCTTTGGTTGTCATACTTATGTTTCTTACTCTTTCACGGTTTTTTAGCGCTATGCTTTAAATTCAATCTGTTCTTTCCTCCATTCTTCTGTTCCTCCATCTCTCCTCTCTTCTGTCAGATGGAGCAAAAGGTGGTGGCTAGTGAGATCTTCAAGGATAAGGACAGCTATGCACAGAGTGTTCCTAGGCTCTTTGTNTCATTTGCCCCACCTCTTTTCCATTGCTGCCTCCTAAATGGCCATTTGTGGTGTGTGCCCTCCCTCAGACAGTGAAGATATCAAGCCCAAGGTGTTGCAGGTACTGGGTGATGACACAGTGCAGGTGAGTCCTGTAGCTGTCCTTGCTGTGTATGCCGGTGATGTGAAGATGTTCCCACAACATTTGTCGGTTTGTTTTTCTGCTTTTTTGGTATGGGGGTTGCACTCGCTGTAGTGGATTAGCCGCTCTGCAGTGTCAGTGTGTCCATGCATTTTGTGAGCCTGTCAGCGTGTGTCATCCCCTCCTGTCCCCTGTGACCTGCAGTATGGCGTGGCTGTGACCAAGTATGACCGGAGAGGCTACCGCCCACGCCAGCGCCAGCTCTTGCTTGGTCCCGCCTTTGCCGTCATTGTGGAGGAGGCTAAGCTGAAGCAGCACATCGACTACGAGACGCTCATTGGTGAGGGACGGCATCACACTGATCCGGCCACAGCCAGACAGCAGAGCTCAGCAGTGAGGGGCGGGACCACACAGGTCAGGCTGATGGGTTTGTCTCCATAGGCATCTCCGTCAGCTCCCTAAGCGATGGCATTTTTGTTCTACATTTGCCTTATGAGGAGAAGAAGCAGAAGGTAAGAGTCGGTCTCAGACCTGATCATGTGACAGATTCTAATCATGTGACCATGTAGTTATGAGTCTTCACTCCAGACCTGCTGTGTGTGGTACGTGTTGATGTGCAAGTGTGTAGAAGTGCTGGCGTGTGGACAGGAAGGCATGTAGACATGCAGGCCTGTAGACGTGTACAGATACAGATGTGTAACAATGAAGACACGCAGATGTGCATACGTGTAGATGTGCAGACTTGTAGATGTGCAGGCATGTATAGGCATGTTGATATGTAGAGATACAGGCATGTAGTTATGAAGGCATGTGCATGTGCAGGCGTGTAGACATGCATGTGTACAGCCATGTAGGTGTGATGACATGTAGGCATGTAGATGTGCAGGTATGTAGATGTTCAGACATTCTTTGCATTCCAGGGTGATGTGGTCCTGCAGACTGAACATGTTATTGAGGCAGTGACCAAGCTAGCCATCAGCGCTGACAAGGTCCACAGTGTCAATGTCAGCCAGGACAGGTAAGGCAGTGCCAGATTGTCTGTCACCTCCTGGGATTGCATGTCTGCACCCTAAATCTGCTTGTGTGTCTGGTGTGCTGTGATTGGCTGATGTTGTCTCCCTAACCCTGCTTTTGAATCACGAAGTGCCATGATTGGTTCAGGTGCTAAACATAACCCTACTTGTGTGTACTGGTGTACTGTGATTTGTTCAGGTTCAAACCCTAACCCTGCTTGTGTGTGTTGGTGCGCTGTGATTGGCTGATGTTGTCTCCCTAACCCTGCTTTTGAATCACGAAGTGCCATGATTGGTTCAGGTGCTAAACATAACCCTACTTGTGTGTACTGGTGTACTGTGATTTGTTCAGGTTCTAACCCTAACCCTGCTTGTGTGTGTTGGTGCGCTGTGATTGGCTGATGTACTGTTTCCCTCCAGAGATGGGTTGCAGGTCATTAACTGGATTTGTCGTTTTTCCAGTTTTCATTCCATCAATTTTCCAGACATGTTACTTTTTCTACATTAAGTCT